TTGTACACTTGACCATACTTGCAGTTATGTGTTAAATGTGTAACATGAAATTTTAGAGTATCACAACTCTTGCATAACATTGTTATATTATTTCAATGTGAAGTCACCATGGTACTGCCATGGTGTGTTGGTTTTCAAGGACATGGCTGATGTCTGCAGGAAGAACCATCTTAATATATTGTTTTTTTCTCTCATTTTCATTTTGTTTTGAGTATCATCCATAATTATGGAGATAAAAAAGGGAGTAAATCAGCCTATTTTGTAGTTTATTTTTATGATTATTCTTATTCTATTTATAATGCCTATGGATATATGAGCAAGATAATTAACTTGCTTTTCATGACAATATTGTCATGTCCAGCTGTTAACTATAATCTAGCCACAGCTGCAGAGGCCATACATGATGGCATTAAAGTTGTTTGTATATGAAACCTGAAACTGTACTTAATAATGGTCTTACAATCCCTTATTACTATAAGCCAAAACTGTGATACTGACACCTGAGTTCCCCTCTTGCTCTTTCTCCTTCATGTGTAACCTGTCCTACTTCTCAACTTGCTCTTTTGTTTCGTGGCCTGCATTTTCTCCACCCTTTCCCCCCCTCATAATGTCTTTTAATATGCAATTCAACAAAGACTTGACATTGGCAGTGCTTAAGCCTCCAATTGCCAGTGCACATAGCCTTCCAGTTGGTAGAATACACATCCCCTTCCACAATGAGGTCCTGTAGGGGATGACTTCACTGAACACCCCCATGTCCCCACAAAGCGCCCAAACCGCATGGTCATCATTACAGCAGAAATAGCTGCATGTCAGGAATGACACAGTAATGTAATGATTATCATAACATCATACCTGATACATGAAGTTATTGATCAGATTATAATTTTGTTTACATTTTCTGTTATTTGGCTCAAAGACATATTAATCAGCCTTAAATTATGAAATATATAGAGATGCTACTATGTACTCTACTTCATTTTCTTCTCAAACTATAAACTAAACTCACTTGGCAATAGTAGTTTGTCACCCTTTGTTTATTATGTCTGTACTGGATATGTCTCTATAAAATATCTTTATAATGCTGATATTTCTCAGTGATTGATCAGATGTCCCTCTGCTCCAGCAGTCCTAAATCAAAGCATCATTGCTTATGTTTTTCTTGTTTGATGTGTTTTTGTAAGAAAGATCTACACTTTGAAATATCAGCTTAGATGTGTATAAATACTAATCTAAATTTGTTCTCTGCCCATCCCAACCCATTCCTTATATTGTCCAATATACCCACCTTATCCTTATCCTCCCCCCCTCTGCCCCCTACCACCTCTGGCTCTGGCCATACAGACACATCGTGGTATGCGGCCACATCACCTACGAGTCAGTCAGTCACTTCCTCAAAGACTTCTTACATGAGGACAGAGAGGATGTGGATGTTGAAGTGGTGTTCCTTCACAGGTAAAGTAAACATAATATTAGTGTGACAGCTTCTGCAGGTCATGTAGACTCTACTTTGTTTTGAAGATCTCCTGGGTGCTTCTCAGCCATGATTCAAGTTTGACCTGAAAGCTCTCTACATTAATGGGTTTATTTGTCATGTTTTGAATGTGTAAGTGGTCAGTTACAGAAAATTTGGTATTGATAGTAACCGTTATTTCATATTTATCATTGATAAAATGTATCATTTGTGTCAGGTGTATGTTAATCATAGTGAAAACAAGTCTATAGACTTTTGCATGTGTATGTGTGTGTTTGTGTGTGTATGCGTGTGTGTGTGTGTGTGTGTGTGTGTGTGTGTGTGTGTGTGTGTGTGTGTGTGTGTGTGGGTGTGGGTGTGTGTGTGTGTATGTGTGCTTTTTTATGTGTGTCTGTGCTGTTAGTTGTATGAAAAATTCATTAAATATTGTTCAGCTAATTTAATAAGTGATATTAGTGAAACTAAATTTAGCTGACCATGAGTGAATATGATTTGATTTCTCATGTTTGTTTAAGAATGTCATCATGTTTATTAACAGCACAAAATGTGCTTCTTGTTCCTTCTGCCTTTTATCCTGAAAGATTTACCTGATCTTCTAGACTCTAGGTTGCTCTACCTCAAGGAGAAGGTAATTCTTCACATGAGCCCTTCTTGTCCCGGGATGTTGTAGGAATTTTTAAAAATTAGAATTTGAAAAGGGGTTCTAGTCGACCCTGATTCTTAGGAGACCTTGACATCTAGATAGTTCATTGTTAAAGAAATCCTTGAATAGAGTTCTCATCATAAAATAAATTTTTGAATGACCTCAAGTTCTAGTAGTGGCCCAGGCCAGACACTTCGTGACTATTGACACCATTTTCAGAACTTTCCAAATGCTTTAATGGAGAATTCTTGCAGGAACGAGCCCGATCTGGAATTTGAGGGACTGTTGAAGCGAAATTCCACATGCGTTGAGTTCTTTCAAGGGACAATGTTTAACTCAGTAGACTTAGAACGTGTCAAGGTACTGAACAATATTCCTATATACTACTTTTCTTTTCCTTGTCTTTATAGCCCCCACCCTCCCCCTCCTCCTCCTCCTCTCTCATCTTTGCCTTCAGTTCTGCTTCCTCATATGGCTCTTCTTTTTCAGTTCCATTCGTGTCCAACCAATATCGTTTTCACGTTTTATGAAATGCATGAGAAATTCATTCTGTTTCTTTTTTTCATTATTAATAATCTTCCTGGACTGACTCAAAGGTAGTGAAAAAAAGCCTTTGTTTCTCCTCTTAGCTGGCTTGATTCAGGTTCCACTGCACACCTCTTGGTCTGTCAAAGTCCAGATAACTAATCTTCCTCTTGGTCATATGAACATGGCCACACTGTCTTGTCGCATCGGAATGAAAAAGGTTGCGTTTAGGAAGGTAGAATGGCCTAGACTCTAGCTTAATTACACCCGGGGATCTTGTATGATTGAATGTTTTCCCCAGCTGTATGATTTATTTTTGCTTGCATTTATTTAATATTTGTCCTCTGTGCACCACTCTAAAACTTGCATATTTGAAGTTATTAAGCCTGTTTAAATGGCTACATCTAAAACGTGGCAGTGAATGCAGACATACACTTGATTTTTTCAGATATTATTTCACTTGTTTGGTTCTGACTGCACTCAGAACAACCAAGTGCAGGTAATTCTGCCAGAGTCTGACCACTCTAGCCTTGCTTAAGCTCTACCCAGATTGACTATGGCTTGGGACCCATACCAACAGGATGCCTTCCAGACATCCATCCATGCACCTGGATTGTGTGTTGACCTTTGGATGCCTGACTGCATCAGAAGCAGTCGACCCCGTCTACACTTAGTTCACCCCCGCGCAATACTGGTCCTTGTGGAGGGATGACCAGAGATTTTTCCATGCATTCCTCTTGTTATGAAGTGAACCTGTAATTTGTCCTTACACAACACACCACAATCACTCACCAACACACCCAAACAAACAACTGAGAGCTACAAAGAATCAGAAAATGGAATGCAGAATATACAGGTGTTTGGTACGTTCACCTCACTATGGAAGCTTCGCGTGTCCTGTTGTTCATGTGACTTTGACCTTAAGCATTTGGATACTGCAGTTTGTGACTATTGTAAATGATATTAACTGCCCAACTTGACAAATGAAAGCAAAAACTTCAATGTTACAAAGTTAAGAAATCAATTAAACTAAACTATAAAGTGCTGCAGTTGCAATCAGGATCATATCTAAATGAACTACTTATTTGAACCTCATCCTTAACAGAAATGATGTTTCAGAGATTATTTGACTAATAACCAATAACCATTCAAATTGAATATAAAATGCATGTAAATATCTGCTAATTAAAGCTGAATATCAGCAATTTAATCAATATTCATAATCACCTTTCGCATCATGTCTTTTGTCTGATATTGCCCTTAACTGAACTACTAACAGTTCTAAAGACGATTATATTGGGAGCATCTTCAAAATGTAAAGAACACTTGTTTTTCACACTGATGTCAATTACCGGTGACATCAGGATTAAGTGTGATTTGTGCAAGAAATGTCCTAGTCGTGACAGCAGTTGAGCCCAACGAGAGTACAAAGCAATGGAGAAATGGATCATTCTCATGGAAAAGAGCTGCTGGAAATGGATTAATAAGCTACGTTGGTTATTGTCTTGTGATGTTGTTCTCAAGCATAAAGCCGGCAGATGAAGGTAAAGGAATGTATTAGCGTGATGGTGATGAAGACTTTGTTCCATAAGATGATAAACTTATGTGAACAGTGATTCATTCACTTAAGTCAGTCCATCAACTAGCCAGCCAGCTAACAGCAGAAGTAGATACAGCCATGGTTACTACTCCCTCCCGTCTCCTCTTACCTCCTAAACCTACTCTGTTGTGGCCATTGGACCATAATCTCAGAGGTTCCTCATCCACCCCTCCTCCCAGAAGTGCAGCAAGTACCTGAACCATAATTACCACCTTCTCCTTTCCTTCACAAAATGCTGTTCTACATACGTCCCACAAAATAATTGGGAGTTCAGTACTGTTGTTCACACCATAGGATTCGGGAGTTCAGTATTCTGACCCTTGTTTTGAACAGAAAAGAACCGGACCTCGAATTGGAAGGGCTTTTGAAGCGGCACTCAACTACAGTAAGCTTCTATCAGGGGAGCATAATGAGTGCACTGGACTTGGCCCGCGTAAAGGTAAATGTTGCTCCCCAAACCCCACCCCAACCCCCCCTCGTGTAGCCTATGAACCGGCTGAGCGGGAGCTGGTGACTGTGTCTTCTTGTGTAACATATAGTACGAGTAGAGAGGTCTTGCTCATACACTCTGTCACCATAGGGAAGGGCATGGTAAGATTGCTTCTCACTGAGGACACAAAGCTATTATTCAGGTCTTATAGGTTCCAGAAGGAATGGCACTGAGACTGTCTTTGGCTTTGTTAGATCATATCAGTGTAGCAGTCTGTGTACAGGCCATCCCATGTGTCAGATTGGGTGTTCATGACTGTGCTACCAAA